TTTCTTTTCTTCCCCCTCTTAAAATCATGTTATGATTTAGAAAGTCACACTTAACATTTATTTTCCCCTTTCCTTTTATTTATAATAAGGAAACTCTATTTAGAAGAGGAATATTTGTTGGTTTACAATCAAAATAGACCTCCTCATCTATTGCTCCAACCCCAAGCTCCACCTAACAAAACAGAATTGTTTAATCCAGTTTTCTCACTTTCTTTCTAAAACAACTTATCTTTTAAAAAAAGATTTCTACTTGATATGTTTGATTGGATTTCAGCAGCAATTTAAAGAGCAGCAGTAGAAGCTGCTGTTCCTTTTTTTTTTTGTAACCTGTGACATTTTCTTTGATTTCCTCCTTTTCTAGTCTTATTCCCTCTTATTTCTGTGAACTGGAATATTATTGAAACAATAATTGCAAAAAAGAGGGTCAGACACAAACCAAGATACAGGTTTTGACTTTCTTTGTATTCTACATCCTATATTATGTTTGGATTTTTCTCATTGATTTCAGTTTCAAAAGTTTATAGAATCTGATGAATTATCTTTTTCCTTCTCTTTCCAGTTCTCTTTTCCTCCCTCTCTTGCTATTTCTCTGATCCTGTGTTTTACTCTAATTATCTTACTTGTCATCATAAGCACCATAAAAAGGCCAGGTATAGACTGGCTTAAAAAAAAGACCCCAATTCAGACATCAGTGAAAAGTATTTCCTAAATAGAGGGTTAAAAGTCTCCCGAAAGTAAGACTAATATCTCCTTGTGAGGCTTAAATATTTCTGAAACTATGCTTGAAAAGAATATAGCCACACACAAAGAAAATTAAGTTTTAAATATACTTCATGAACATACAAAAAATTCACAAATTTTATAAAATCGGAGACAGTGTCAGCTGAAAATGTAACGTTTTATAACATATATGACACAATGCTTACCAATTATATGATTTTTTTATTTCACGCATTTTTAAAGACTTTTTGTGAGTCTTCATTATAAATACATTTTTTTGGGGGGGTACCAGGAATTGAACTCAGGACCTCGCACTGGCCAGGCAGGCACTGTGCCACTGAGCTACATCCCAGCCCTATAAATACAATTTTGAGAAACAGTACTTAACTCTTGTGTGCACATCAAAAGGGAAATGAAGAAAGAAGTGGCTGGGGTATTCCTAAAATCCAGACTCCACATCCAGACTCCAGCCCCGTGGAGCCACTGCTGGGTCCCAGTGATGAGGAGACTGGGCTTTTCCATGCACGCCGTCTGCTGTTCCATCAGAGCTAATGCTCCAGAAAACTAGCGATTGTTCCAGTACTGTCTGTGGGCTCTTGTTTGAAGCAGCTCACCCCTATTTGCAAGTTAAATAAATTTAGTCGACGCAATAATTGCACATATCTGGGGGATACAATACGATAATTGAATGCATGTATACAATGTACAATGGTGCAATCAGGGCAATAGCATTTCCACCTCCTCAAATACTGATCATTTCTTTGTGTTGGTGATCTTTGCACACTTCTAGTTCTTTATAATGAATTGTATGAACTCTAATCACTCTGTTGTTCTGTAGAACATGAATGCATTCCTGCTATTTTCATTATCAGATAGTTACTTATTTGTAAATGTTGATGCATGTGCTTACTTGCTTGCACCAGAAGGTGTCCACAGAATATTTCCAGATAACCACAGTTCATATTCCTTCCCCAGTGAGGGACTGTGATTACCCTGTTGGGTTATTAGGAATTCACAACTGACTTTAAGTATAAATAGTAAAGATATTACTTGCAACTAATTCCCTCTAGCTTACAGCAATTGTGAGATGAACTGTTTTTATAGTTGCAAAAATATGAGAAAATGTTAATCTCAGAATTGGTAAAAAAATGATAGACTCTTTTTGGATCCCAGATTATCACATTAGATTAATAATTGAACAAAGAGTGTTTGCTCCACTGATTACTCATTTTGGTGTTATGAGTCATTCTTGAACAACTTACACTCAAATATACATATATGCATGAATTTCACATGGTATTATGGGTCAATTGTGATGTTGTTTTAGTACACCAATTCCCAGATCCTTTTTATCTGTCTGGACTGGTTGAGCCCTGAACCAAGAATGACAAACGCTGGATTTCCCATCTAGTCCTGCTATGAGTTCCTTTCTGTCGGATTCTTTCTCTGTAGCATATATCTTCTGTTCCAATGTAGTAACTCTCTGTAGAGCCCTGCCCAGGAACCATGTATTGGTCCTATAACTGGCCATGTGCCAATGCCTAAGAGTTGTCTGTCTCTGATATGCAAAGCAAACTCCCCTTTGAATTTACCTTAATTTATCAGTGCTAATGCCTCTAGCCTACCCATGAGGGCATAGCTTCTTCGAACACATACAGTGTCCATCAAACCCTTTCTAAAAGGATTAGAAACTACCTTCTTTTATTAAGTAACAGAGTATTTTTAAAAATAAGATAATCACTTTTCATTGCATTTTTGTTCAGGTGTATTATTCCCCCCATGGTTGGTTTTCCTTTCTCATTCTTAGAAGTCTCCATTTGCTTGGATCTTATTTGCTTGAGCTTTCCCTTAAAATTCACTTAGTCTTGGGCCATGCTTCTAGAGAGCTTTTCTTCGGTGAATACAGCGTTGCTGCAATAGTTGTCTCTACAACCCCAAGGGACAGGATAGTGTCCATTAACTGTCAGTTCAGTCACTCCCAATTGTAAAACAGTTTTGCATAGCAAAAGGAATATGTAAATTGGACTCAGGTAATCTGGGTTTGAATTTTCACTCTGTCACTTGTTAGGAGAACGAACCTGCCATTTCATATAACATCTGAAAACTCTGTCCATCCCACTTATAGAGTGGAGATAATCTTCTCTTGTTGAGATAACAGGAATGCTAAGTAGGATGGCACTCATAAAGCCCTTGGCACAAAACCCATCAAATGATTGGAATAATTAAGTCACTGTTATCATGCAGCACTGAACAAGCTGGCATGGAGATCTCCTTTTAGAATTTCACTACCCTTAGACTGATTAATTTCCTGGACTTTCCTTGGGGATATCTTATGGCTGGTGGGGAAGAAAGGATTACTTTTAATAGTGTGAATGGTGCAACCATGGTATATATATATTTGAAACAGTAAAACCCTACTAAATTTTAACAATTCACTTTTTTCACTGCATGAAATTAATATTTGCTTTTATTGAGGAGGACATTTCTGAAATACTGGTTTGAGTCTCTTATCTATGTTCCTGGGCAGACAAGTTCTGCATAGGCTGTAGGTTATAATCATTGGATTCCCTCCCTTGTGTTGGATGCTCTGATTTAAGGAAGGCTTAATTTTCATTGCCTCTGTGTAATGTACAACATGCTGCTAATATGTGCCTCCTTTTTTTTTTTTTTTTTTGGTTTTTCTCTGGTACCGGGAAACGAACTCACGACCTTGCGCATGCCAGGCAGGCGCTTTTGCCGCTGAGCTAAATCCCCAGCCCCTGTGCCTCCTTTATAATCCACTGTTGCTTCAGATTCCCACCATGTGGAAAGCTTTCATTCATGGAATTGTTAAAAAAGTCAACAAGAATGGATGAATATTTATATTTTCTCACACTTTTTCCTGAAAAGCTGGGAGAAACATGTGAGGAATGAGAATCTATCTTTAAAGGATAAAACAGTGTATCAGATCTGCGAAAATGTTGGCATTTCATTTAGGAATTAACATTACATTACGGTTTCTGCTGAGCATGATTCCAGGAATTGTTTATTCCATCAGGTATTCATGACATGCACCTTTCTCCATTCTAACACATAAATACTGCAGCAATAATGTAGAGTTTATAGTACCAGGAGCTTCATTTTTTAGAACTAATTTTGCTGATATATAATTGTTGGTATAAATGTTGGCACTTCCTTAACTAAAGTTGTGATAACGAGTGTTGCTATAATGAAAACAAATGAGATTAATGGTCTTTTCCAGGTTTTTATCTGGCAGTGGCTGCGAGATTGAAATTCCTTTTGCTTAGCTTCAGAAGTGTTGTATTTTCCCCCAAGCCTAAAGGAAGTAATGTAGAATTTACCTGTTGGGTCTTTCTCAGAATACACCGTCTTGGGAGCATCAGAGTACAGCCTCATGTTAAGAAGAACTGTGTAAAAGTAAATTAGACTTAAAAGGGAGGACTTTGGCCAGGAATATAGCTCAATGGCACAGTGCCTGCCTAGCAAGAGTGAGGTCATGAGTTCGATCCCCGGTACCACAAAAAAAAAAAAAAAAGAGAGAGAGGACTTGCAAACTTAATGGGCAAAGAAAAGAACAGGCTTCTTCTTATAAAACGAATATTATTTAATATAAAAATAAATTGGTAAAAAATTAACCCCTTTTACTAAATGTGTTGTATAATGCAACCAGGATACTTCAGAGTTTTAGTGCAAAACACAAAATTATTTTAGAGGTATATCACAGCTCATCAGTCTTTTTTTTGGTAGCATCTTAAGTACTAAACTTATAGTGCACAGCTATCTTTTTTTATTTTAAAGAGAAAAAAACAACAAAATAACAACAAAGAAAAAAACAAAACACAATAAAATGATACAGGATTTCAAAACAAAATGAAGGCTTGCACTTTTCTATTACACTCTTGTTTAGTTGTAGTAGAATTTGTCTACCTCATGCTTTATTTTGCAGAATTTTAATGAAAGAATAGAAATCATAATGAAAAATTAGGATTCTTCTGTGCTAAGGAATGGTAGAGTGCCCCCTACTCCCAGTTTCTTGCAGGGCAGAGCAAGAGATTCTACATAGCATCATTATTACACTTAGAAACACTACTGTTGAGTAAATATTTGCACTCTGATCTTGCCATTCTCGGATGTCCAAGGGTATACAGAGTCTCAAAAGGTAAATAATTAAAGATTCTGGCTTCTTGGGTGGCACAAAGTAGTTCTTGATATAGGTTTGTGTATTTCACTGTCTCTTTGATAATCCATAACTGTCTTCTGTAATTATTTTCATCCTCCAGCCAAGCAAAGATAAAAGATGGAACGTGTTTCTTTTGTCTACTCCCACGGAAACCCCATTATCCTTGAAAGACCACGTGACTGCACAGAGCCCAATCTGGGCTGAGAGAAGGAGTCCGCAAGGACAAGCTGAGTGAGAGTGGAAAATGAAGTTGTTACCAGTCTGCAAACGGCAGTCCTCACTGCCTATGAATATTTGAATAAGTAACTAAAAACAGCTCCGTAAACTCTAAGCAACTGTGACAGCTGAAACTGCCTGGAAACCAAGAGTCTGTGAGGACCAGGATGAAAAGATCAGTCGTTGCCTTCTGCCTCCTGGTACTGGGGGTCTACAGGGGGACAGTATCAGATCTCTGTTGCTCAGGTATAAGTTATGGAAAACGTGATTTGTCTCTGCACCTTCAGAAGCCAAATAGCCCCCAAACCTCTTGTGTTATTTTTAACTCATTAAAATGCAATGATTTCTAACACTAGTTTCAAGGCAAGAGAATGACCATTTTTTTTTCAGGCCCTGAAATATTGATGTTGCTGTTGTTTAGGCTCATGAAACGTTGGCCCTCGTCAATCTTTCAAGACCATCTTTCTGTTTGCACCATGTGGGAAAGAGGCAAGGAGAACGAAGTCCCTAAAGCCACAGTTCTCTGAATAATTCTCTCAAAACTTTAATAAAAGGGTTACCAGAAACATGGCTTGACTTATATGAGCCCACACGGGTTATTGCTTTGCTTTTAAAGAGTCAGATAAATAGTTGGTTTTATTGAAATAGAAAATTCAGAACAGATTTTACCATATAGAGGAGTTCTAAAAATATTTGTAGAGGATAATTTCAAAAGAAAACTAAAAATGTATTCACTTTTCCTTGGCTTTCTTGAATACATAGACAATTATTGTTTTAATTATTATTTACAATTTATTGGGAAATAAAGTAGTACAAAATTTTCAAGTTGGCACCTTTAACTGGAAGGAGAAAGGTAATTATTTGGTTCCTTTAAGTATGTATAGTAAATTCTACTTAAATGCACTTAGTTTCATTCATTTTGATGAATAGTTAAATACAATGGGAGCCTTCTTATAGTCCATAAATTCCTAATAAGGAGAAAAAATGTGCAGTATGTATATCTAATGTAGAAATTGCTGTGATTCAAATCTAGAAGCTGAAATATAATCAAACTGAAAGGAATCTTGATGAGGTAACTATTCATAGGTAGATAGGTAGATAGGTAGGTAGATAGATAGATAGATAGATAGATAAGATTAGATAAACAGATGGATAGATAGATCTAGGAAACATGTAGTTTCAGGCAGAGGATTTCTTCAGAAAATCCTGGGAGACAATGGCCATAAACCTTTAATGTGAAAGTTTAAGAGTATTTTCAGTGACAGTGGGGGACCTCAATGACTGTCCCAGAGCCTCTGCAGAACTTCTGTCCTCTTCTCTGGAACTGAGCATACTATTTCCTTTTTCAGGTGAAATCACTATACTGTTTCCTTGTAGTGTCTGGTAATGCTAGCCAGACCAAAGTCTAAGACTAGTGTTAGGTAGTGACTGATTACTAATTCTGCATCAAAAATGGAACTAGGTGTGCAAAATACCGTTCTTGCAGAGGAGAGCTTGAGAGAGAAAAGGAACTAGACAGAATGAATATTGGTCACATCTATATTAGAAACAAGCCCTTGAGGTGAACAGGAGCATGGTCACTCAGGGGCAGAGTGAGGAGATAGAGATCCATTTTAACAGTAAGACTTGGTCATATCTAATGTTCACTGCAAAGTCTCCTTTAGCCCAACAATCCTACTAAACCGGATGTTGAACTGGAGGTCAAAGCTGCTGTTAGCTATGAAAGTCATTTATATGCTCTGTCTCAGAAAGTCATTTATATGCTCTGTTTTGTTCTCTCATTTATTGGGATGCATGATAATTCCAAAGGCAGTTTGGGAACAGAACAAGCACAGACTTTGGCATCAGAGGATCTGGATTTGCAGTTCTGAAGCATCACTTACCAAGCTATGTAAGCTTCCTGAACAGTCTTTGCTTAGGATGATCATGGAAAGTGCCCCTTTGGGTGGGCTGTTGGTGGACAGAAGAGGTGACCATGCAAAGTGCCTACACACCAGATTACCCTGATAAATATTCATTTTCTTCCTCACTTTACTCTAAAGTCCTTTCCTACTTTGCACTCTACCAAGTGCTAATTGAATGAAAGTTTTCCTGCAGTGCGTCTGAATAGATGTGGGATTAAGCCTAGAACTGTTGTTATCTCAGGGTACGTGAGCACAGCACTTCTGATTGTACCATTTAATATTAGTGATGCCCAGGCGATACCAAATGAGAAACCATGAGGTGAAGAGAACTGGCTGGTTGGTATCATCAAATATGACATCTTTGATACTTTTTCTTTTGTTCCTCAGACTACAGTAGAACTGCTTTGTATCACTGTGAAATATTTTAGTTTCAAAGGTCGTAACTTGGTCAAAGTTTGAAAATTAAAGTCATCTCCAAACACTTGTACTGGGGACCATGAATATTCATTAACATGTGCTCATTTGTCATTCATAAGATTGGTTTCCAAGACAAACAGAACAAAACAACGCATATGAGCAAGTGATCTTACAAGTGGCCTCAGAAGACAAGAAAAATATTCCACCAGGGGTACAACAGCCTCTAGCTAAAAGCAGTTTCCTAAAATTTTTACTTACATGTGGGCCAAAAGTCTCCCACACAGGGAAAAAGCACCTCTGTTGTAAGTCCTGTAAAATGACTGAGCTGGCATTTAGATACGTTGCGTAAAGTATACCATCACACTTGGCGTTACTATGTTTAAGGTGGTAGTCTTTCCAAGAGCAACTAACTGGAACTGGCCTACTTTTCCCTCAATACAATAAGCAAGAGTGCATACATACCGTGAAGTATGCTATTGGCGTTATGTTAAACAGAGCAGATCTATGCATACTGCTACAGGAAGACATCTACCACACTAGAACCTCCGTTCATGAATGCTTTTGTTTGCAAACACTTTAGTTCACAAACACATACACTTCACAGAATTTTATTTTGGTTTGCAAACTGCATCAGGAGAAAAACACAACTGTGACCACCTTTCCCACACAAACACAAATGTGGCCATCTTTACCAAAAT